AACAACAACAACAACAACAACAACAACAACAACAACAACAACAACAACAACAACAACAATAACAACATTAACAACAACAACAACAACAACAACAACAACAACAACAACAACAACAACAACAAAAACAACAACAACAACAACAACAACAACAACAACAACAACAACAACAACAACAACAAGCTATTTATTTTTCATTTTAAAATCATTTTTACAATAATAAGGTAAATAATAATAACAATAATTATAAAATAATGAGCAATAGTAATAATTTATAACAATAATAATAATAATAACAAAAAAAAAAATTATAAATAATAATAATTACTATAATAATAAGTAAAATGATATGTTATTTCTTAATATAATAAGTTAATGATTAGTATGGATGGTGTCACTCATACAGAAGTCTGATCAAAGGAGTGACACCATTTTTCAAAATAATATGACTAATAATAAACATGTAGGGTAAATTTTTATTTAGAGAGTTAAAAACAAAAAGAAGATAAGCAAACTTTACTAGCAAATGAAAGGTTGGAATTTTAAGTTTTTTAAAAGAATCTGATGTATCTGGTTTGAAAGGTTGAAAGTTTGTTATTCTAATGGATTGGCGTTGAGGTGACATTAGTTTATTAATATGATAGTTGCCAGTTTGACCCCAAACTTGACAGCAATAACTAAGATGAGATGAAAATAATGCATAGTAAATATTTAAAAGAGTAACTTTATCGACATAATATCAAATTACTGAAAGCATACCATTTGCACGATTAAGTTTCTTGCGCAGCTCATCGATATGGAAGTTCCACGAAAGATTGCATTCAATTAACACACCAAGATATTTAATAACTCTCGAGGGATATAGTCGTTTATTATTTATTTTGATTTTAATTTCAACGTTGTTACAGTTTTTTCTGTTGTTGTAACAGTTTTTTCTAGAAGATGAAAATTAGTTCAGTCTTTTCGGTGTTAAGACATATTAGGTTAGCATTTAACCAATGAACTATACCTTTAAAATCTGAACTTATATTTTTACATAGAGAATAGTATGATTTGTTGACATGCAAGAGGTTGGTATTATCTGCAGATAGATGAACCGACGAGAAGTGAACAGAGTTATTTAGATCATTAATGTAAATTAAAAACAAAAGAGGACCAAGAACGGAACCTTGAGGAACACCACATGTAACACGTTTGTTACTAGAAGTATAACCATTAATACTTACATATTGTTTCCGGTCCAAAAGATAAAATCGAAGCCAATCACTTACAGCTCCACGAATTCCATAATGTTCTAACTTAGAAATCAAAATGCTATGATCAACGGTATCGAAAGCTTTTTGTAAATAAAAAACACCACGATAAAAACACTACAACAAAATGACCAGTATCAAGAGCTTTTCTAATTTTTTCAGTTATACTTATCAGTGCGTGGCAGATAGAATGGTTTCATTGAAAACCAAATTGAAACTCATTTAAACAGTTAAAAGAGTTTAGAAAAGAGTACGTTCTAGAATACATTAATTTTTCAAGAAGCTTACTAATGTTAGATAAAAGAGAAATAGGTCTATAGTTAGTACATAAAAGTTTATAGCTGTTTTTGAAAGTTGGAATAATACAAAGTAATTTTAAAATATCAGGAAAAGTTTCATTCATGAATGAGATATTAAATAGTTTAGAGAGAATATTTGAAAATTCGTAGTTAAAATCAATAAGAATGTTTGTAGGAATACTGTTTGGACCTAATGATTTTCTCGGCTTCGACTTAGATATAAGAGATGAAATTTTAGGAATGTTTGTTGGAGATAAGAGTAAACTATGTAAGTTTGGATATTTAAGATACTTTTGATAGTTGACGTAAGACGAATGAATATTGGATTTAAGTTTATGAGCAAGATTTGTAAAAAAAGTGTTAAACTTTTCAGAGATTAGAGTTGGTTCAGTTAAATATCTATCATTATCTTGTAAACAGGGAGATGAGCTGTTATAATTTTTGACATTTATTATTTATTATCTCCTGAGTAAAACAACTATAAAAAAAGCGTAAATACAATAACAATAATTTGAAATCTTTTAAGGAACAGATTTCGAATCAAAACTGGAGCAATATTAGCTTCAATGATGATATAAACCTGATCTACGATTCCTTTTTTTAAATATTTAAATCCATCAATGACGCAAACTTCCCTATTCGTGAAATAATCTTTAACGCCAAGAACGTATCATGTCCTTGGATAACTAAAAGACTTAAAAAATCATCAAATGTGAAACAAAAACTGTATATTAAATATCTAAAAAAAAAATTAGTCAATCATAAAAATAACTACTTAATTTATAAAAATAATTTCGAAAAACTCTGCAAAAATGCCAAAAGAAATTACTACTCCGACTTGTTTGCAAAGCATAAACATAAGTTTGTAAAGCCTCTATTGCTCAAGGATCCTTTCCAGACTCTCTAAAAGTAGCAAAAACTTCTCCTGTGTATAAATCAGATGACCATTGTAACATTACAAATTATCGTCCTATTTCAATTCTTCCAGTTTTCTCTAAAATACTAGAAAGAATAATGTATAACAGAGTCTACAATTAATTTGTTGATACTAAACTTTTATATAATAATAAATTTAGCTTCCAGAGAAACTATTCTATTGAACACGCCATACTCCAACTAACACATAGCATTTCTGATTCTTTTAAAAGTTCTCATTATACTCTAGGAGTATTCATCGATTTTCTTTAAAAACTTTTAATACTGTCGATCACCACAATCTATAAAAAAAATAAGAACTCTATGGAATTAAAGATAAATCACTAAGCTGGTTCAACATCTATCTTAGTAATCGTAAGCAGTTTGTTAATATCCAAGACTCTTCTTTGCCTTTATTAATGAATGTAACATGTGGTGTCCCACAGGGATCCATAGTTGGGCCCCTATTATTTTTAATATATATAAATGACCTTAACAAAGCCTCTAACTTAACCACTATAATTTTTGCTAATGACACAAACCTATTCCAATCTCATGAAAACATAATTACACCTTTTGATAATATCACACAAGAATTAAATAAAATCTCATATTGTTTTAAGAAAAACAAATTGTCCCTCAATATTGATAAAACAAAATGGACAATTTTTTACCCAATATCCAGAAAAAAATGTTTCCCAAATACAATGCCCGACCTCTTCATTGATAATACAATACTAAAAAAAGAAAAAGTTACAAAACTTCTCGGAGTTCTTGTAGACGCAGTGGTTAGAGCGCTTGCTTTATAAGCAGGAGATCAAGGTTCGAAACCAGCTCTGGACATATTTTCGTCACGGTAAGGAAGGAGGCATGAACTTCCTAGTTAAATGCACTTCCGCGGTGCTCTGTGACAAGTCCGTTAGGTCTTCTTGGGGCACCTAAATAACAAAAAAAAAACAACAAATCGATAATAACTCCTTGAAAGTTGCTAAAAGTATTGGAATTTATATATAAAGTTCAATATATTTTAAATAAACAACAATTAAAACAACTATATAATTCGTTTATCCACTGCCATTTAAGTTATGCAAATATTGTATGGGTAAGCGCACACAAAATCAAATTTAAATCTCTTTATCAGCATCAAAATCACGCAGCTCGCCTAATTAATTTTGTAAATCGTTTTTTAAATTCAAAACCACTTCTAAGAGTAATGAAAGCCTTAAATGTATACGAACTAAATGTTTATAATATTTTATGTTTCATATTTAAATGTAAAAATCATTTATCTCCTGTTGTATTTATGTACCTTTATAATGTAAAACCCATAAACAAATGCAATCTTCTTTCAATGGAAAAAATCAACAAGAACCTTTCTGCCAAACTAAATTTGAACAACTAATTATTTCTTATCATGGTCCTTATTTATGGAATAAAATAGTTTTGCCAAATTTTGATTTGTCTTTGAAATGGACTTTAACTTCTTTGAAACGAAAATTAAAAGAAGTTATCTTTTCAGCAGAAAATATTTTTTCTTGTTTTTTGTTCTTTTTTTTCATATATTTCATATAATTTATTCAGTATATATATTTTTTAAATGCACAGTTATATATAGTTTATGTTGATTTATTTTTATTGCTTAATTTGATTTTATTGTTATTATTATATTTAATATTGTAAAGGGCTTCATGATAAGACTGTATGATCTTCTGGAAGAACTGCCGAATATATTTGTAATAAAGCTATTCTGTAATTGTAATTTCTTTTAATGAAGGCAAATAAATTTACAGGAAGAAAAAAAAAAGAAGCAATTCTTCACCTTTTTTAAAGTTAAAAAAGAACTTTATAATTAAGTAATTTATTTATCAATTATTTATTAATATATTTAATTTACTCGATTTTTACCATAATAAATTTAATCAAGTAAATTAAATTTATTATGGTAAAAATAAATTAAATTTACTATAATAAAAATAAATTAAATTTGCTATAGTAAATCAGCCAAATAAATTATATCTTTTATGTATTTATACAATTCTTTTTCAACTTTAAAAAAGATGAAGAATTGTAATTGGTCTAGTAGTGGACAGAAGCGCCTGTACGGTCTAGCCATTCTTCAATAAAAATGTAAAATTTGGTATAATTTTTAAAACCAGCAAATGGAAACATTCTTGAAACAACATTTAGATTAGGGAATGTAGATTTAAGTTTTTATTATTGGATAACCAAAAGTAAATCCAGGTGATTTGGTTTTCTGGCTTCACCGGTACCAGTTTTAATTGAAGTTATAACAAAGAAGTTGAAATGTAGACCCCGCGACACTAAACCTCAATCCGTCACTGCTTCTCAGGGCACCAAAAACAAAATTAAAAAAACAAACATATGTAGATATAGAATTTAACATCATTTTGCATGCTTTTTGTTCTTTTATAGATAAATTATCTTTGTTTGAGGTGTATCATTGTTTATCTTTTAGGCTAATAAGTGAATGATCCCTTATTTCAATATTCGGATTACTCTTGGTTGCGTAATGAAGTCACGTGCTCCGTCTAATCGAAGTAAATAAAATAGTTTAAGTAGAGAAAGATTAAGGTTAAAGTAATTTAAATTCAGTTAAAATTCAATTATCCAATGAAGTCCCTTGCTGTTTTCAGTAGTTTTCCGGATTTATTATACTTATGGACTGATGAAGGTTTCAGAGAACACCTTCATAACACGTTTTTGAAAAGTAAGCTTGATGTAGTATATGATATAAATAGTTTTGCACAACAACTTTACAGTCCTTTAGTTACGTCTAATAACTACATGAAACAATTTGATAGTGGATATCGTAGAATAACTTGTGAAAATGGACTTTTGTTTGTGATGAAACAAGTAAGAAATACCTTAGCTCTAATTAGTTTTACTTATATTTACATATATTTAAGCTTAGATTCTAGAGTATTAGATAATAAATATAAATGTTTATTTTAAAATATTTAGTAACAGCACATGAATTTATGTAGTGCATTAGATAAACAATTATATAATATTTTACTTTCAATTTTTGTTACTTTTGCATCAAAATTGATACAAATAAAATTACAAGGTAATCATTTAACAAGTTGATGAAAAAAGATGAAAAAAGATGAAAAACTGGCAATACTTAAACACCAATTTGCATATCGATAAAAGTTTTTTTGAGTCTAGTATCAGTGCAAATAATTGAATATAAAAAAAAATTGATACAATAAAAATATCATCATAAAAAAAAAAAAATTGCAAAAACAAATCCCAGTTGGCATTTAGATAGTTGTAAAAAGAACAAGGTGAACCTGACATAGAAAAAAAATGAGGTAAAATTTTTTGTAGTACATAACACAGCATGTTCTGTACTACATAAACAATAATGACGAGAAACTGAACACGGTTCATAAAACTAAAGCAAGGTAGAGACAAGACATGAATCAAGAAGCCAAAGAAGTGATTTGAATTGTCTGAAAAACAAAGCAAAAAGACTTCCTAGGTCAAAGGTTAAGAATAACAAAAATCATGTTTCTAATAACTTCATCATTATGAAGTTATTAGAAACATGATTATACTTTTTAACCATATGCTACCACAACCTACAAAATTCTCATCATTTTAAACTATCATCTATAGGAAAAATATTTGATTTAAACTAATAAAAATTAAATTTAATTATCAAAAGACATGTAAATTGAATTTGCTAAAATTGGTTTGTCACTGCTGAAAATTTGATGCTTTTTTTTCTCTCCATAAGATCCCATAATCATTCAAATTAAGAAGAGAATTAAAAAGCAAAAAAACAGTTCAGAAGTCTTAAAAAACTGTAAAATTTGTCTATTACAAAAAAACTTTAACATTGTGGTTAGCAAAAAAATGATTCAATAGTTTTAAATACTTTCCCAGATACACCATATAAAGATATACATGGTAGGCTTTATGGAAAGCCTACCATGTATATCTTGATATGTCTTAACATTCAATAGGTTTATCATACAACGTTGACAGTGTCTGTTTTTAAGCTTATTGTTTAATATGATATAGCACTCAGTACAGTTGGTGTTATGTTTCATGGTCCTCAAGAGACTAGGGCCTTTAAATATTAGAGTTCTATTTCTTTACAGCTTCATTTATAATAACAACATTTTTTGTTGTACTTGAATTATGCAATAGGAAATATAAAGTCTGATATTGCAAGACATATTTTTTAGCACTGTGATCTGATTTTTTGCCAAGAAAAAGTGCCATGTTTTAACAAAATTAACAAAATCTTATTCCTTAGGATTCTTTGAAAGTTTGTATAGAAAAGTGAGTGAAGTGAGGAAGGGAATTCAAATAGGACTCACCTAAGAACATTTTTTTCCCAGGGTCCTGATTGTATTAATTTATCAAAATTGTTATTTTGTCATGTAACAGAACACAAAGAGATGAGTTGAATAATTTATAAGAGCTTTAGATTTTTTTTTTTAATGACAATTATTTTATAAATAAAATATCATTATTAATTGCAAAGCCGCAATTACAAATTAAAGAAATAATAATAATAAAAAAGTTGAACATAATTTAATTCATTTTCATAAATATTGAAAAAATAAAGAAATTATTTTATATTAAATATTAAAATAAGATGTAACGTTGAATTTAGTTATTTAATTTTTGTTAATTCAATTTTTCAACTAAATTTAAAATCAATATTGTGGAATGTTTATTTTGTTTCAATTATTTTGCTTTTTAATATTAAATAAATTTAATATGAGATTCTTTATTTTCATATATTTTTTTATTAACATAAATTAATTTCTTTCTTTTCTTTAAATTTGTATAAATGAATTAAAACATGTTAATTTTTTTTTCATTATTTTTATTGTGGCCTTGCAAATATAATGATTTTTTACTTTTAAAAAGTTAAACAAAAATAAAAAGTATTAAAAACAAAAAATATTACTTTTTGCAAAAAAAGCAACCTGAAAAGTTAATTACTTTATCAGCGCTTTTTTTGTGACAAACAAAGATTAAAGTTTCTGAGTACCATTTATACAAAAATATATACCGTTGTGTTTTCACTTGCCTTGAGACAAAAAAGTTAAATGTACACTTTATGAATATTTTTGATGCAGTGTTATAAGTTGTTACATGTTTTCAAGGAATTTATGTTTTTGTATAAAATAGAAAAGGAGGAAGAAAAATCGAGAAAAAAAAATCTAACTTTTTTAAATTTAAATAACATATTTAATCAAAGTTCTTTCTAAATTATAAAGAAGTTTCTATTCCACTTTTTTTTTATTTTACCATTGCATTTTCACTTTATTTTTTACTTTGGCTTTATGACAAAAAAGTTAAACATGTGCTTTATAAACATTTTTAATGCAGTCTTATAATATCTTGACAAGGAATTTAAATAACTTTTTTTAATCAAATTTTTTTTCTAAATTATAAGGATATTTCTGTTTTCATTTTTTTTATATTATATCACGCAATCTGTTAATTATATAAAGCTGATGTAACTATTATATAATATTATTTTTCTAAACTGTTATTTTTTCACAAAAAAAAAACCTTATAAATATAAACAAGGACATTGCTAGAGCAGGCTTGGTTGGAAAGTGAGAACGATTGCATTCTATTCCTGACCATGCAAATTTTGTTTAGTTGCAACAACTTGGACACAGCTTTTCAGATTTTTTTTTTTTTTACATCTTTGTTTCCAACAAGGCTGCAAGCAACCACTAATTAGAGTTGAAAGTTACTGGAAGAGTGAAAATGAAGATTGTAGAGCAAGATAATGATTGACAGACGACTTGAAAGATTGCAAATCATATGAATCAGGAAAGCAAGATGAAGGAAGCGAATTCCAAAGATCTGATGTTCGAGGAAAAAAACTAGAAGAATAAGAGTTTTTGGAGCACTTATGAATAGTCACAGAAAAAGGATGAGAATGACGAGTAACACAAGAATGAGTTTTAGTAGATGGCACTAGCACTTTAGAGCGATGCCCATTATAGTATTTGTAGAAAAGAGAAAGAGAAGCAACATTACGACGATGTAATAATGATTGCAGGTCCAACTATGTTTACAATGCATTTTTGCACCTTGTTTAAAAGAGAAAGAAAATTATTAGAAGATCTGCCCTAGATATGGCAACAGTATTCTATACAAGGCTGGATTTGAAATTTATAGAGATAAAGAATAAAATCTGGAGTAAGAATGTGTTGAGCTTGATAAAGAGATGCAACTTTAGCAAATGCTAATTTTGAACAGATTTGATATATGGATTCCAAGAGAGATTGGAAGTTAGAGTTAATCCGAGAATATGAAGGGTAGATGTCTCATTGAGTTTTATCTTAATTAAAGTTCACCAGCCACTGTGAGCCCCATGCTGTAGCAGAAGTGAGATCCTTTTCAAGCTCAAATACCCCCTCCAAGAAGTCAGAGAGAGTTGGCTTCTTATCAGACAAGAATAAATGGTAGTATCATCAGCAAACAACGCCACCTTAGATGTGAGAATATCTGGAAGATTGTTAATGTTAATTAAAAAGAGTATAGGGCCAAAGATTGAACCTCGAGAAACCCCTGAAGTTACAGAATAAGAAGAAGAGTGCTCTCCATCAAGGACATCTTTTATGCTATATTTGGAATAGAAGGATTCAATAATCTTAAAGATATTACCAGATACACCATAATAAGAAAGCTTAAGGAGAAGACCAGCATGCCAAACTTTATCAAATGCTTTAGAAATGTCGAGAGCGTTGACCTTAACCTCTCCATCTTTATCTTATGCACAATAAAACCTATCGGTTATTACTGTTAGCAAATCAGCCGTAGAACAAAAAGATTGAAATTCATATTGATGATCAGAAAGTAAGTTATTAGATTCAAGATGAGAGATTAAGTTTTTGTTAATTAAAGGTTCAAAAACCTTACTTATTATAAGAAGAAGACTAATGGGATGGTAGTTAGACTAATCAGATCGCTCTCCAGAATTTTTGAAAATAGGGATAACAGATGCTGCTTTCCAGCAGGCTGGAAAACAAGACTCTGATAAGCACTTGTTGAATAGTTTTAAAAGGATAGGCGACAGCTCCGGCGAACACTTCTGCTAGACTATAACAGGTATGTTGTCTGGGCTACATGCTGTAGAAAAGTCTAAGCAGGAAATTCGAAAGATGTTTTGAGAACATTTAAATTTATTTATGTTTCCATCTGACACTGTTTGAAATTAATTGAATATTTAAATATTCTTTAAAGCAAGATGCAAATACAGTTTCATTTTTACTCAACTTTAAGATTTTTTTTTGAGTTGTTATTTGAAAACTCATCTTGCTCCATCTTTTATTGATCGTTTATAAAAAGAAAATTTTTAATTTTATTTTTTAGATAATAACAAGTTAAGTTTTAGCATAAAATATAATAAATAGTTATACAAATAATAATATAGATTAGTTTTTTATACTTTAAATGTAAGTCTTTTAAAAATGTTTTAATGAGCGATTTAAAAAAAAATTAGACTTTCAACAACTACTGTGTTTTCAATAAAATTAAAAAAAAAGTAATCATCAAAGTTAATAAAATTAATATTCAAGTAAACATACAGAAACTTACAGGCGACTAAACATAAACATACAAATATACAAAGTGAATTATGAGTGGATGAACACTGCTGCAGTGATTTGAACAAAACACAACATACATTTATATAAAGTGACTTACAGGTGAACCGGCACCGTGCCAGCGGTCCATACAGAACAAAAACATACAAATATATTAAAAAGCCTAATCACTAAATACACCAGCGGTATTGTGAAGTAGTTACGCTTCCTCTTCATAAATATATTTTATCTTTTTAGTTTAACTATTAAAGTTTGCTTAAT